AGTGGATAGCTTAGAGTGAGTCACGAAGTCTTAGAAATATTTTTTTTGGAATTTTATATTTATTCAGTGACACTCTTACGATGCCCATTATGAAATTCGCGGGACAAGAATAATTATAAGGCCTCAATGTATGAAAGATAACTGATCTCTTTGTATACAATATATTATATGATCCCACAGGCAGCGTGCTAGAAAGCGAGTTTCTCTCTCTCTCAGTGAGAGAAATGCTTACTGGTATTTAGTTGTAGTGTTTCTGCCTTTTTTCGCATACAAGAAGAAGATAAATTTACGTACGGACCATATTGAATGGGTCAATTACAAAATGATATCACATTTGTCTCAAATTACTAAGGGCACCCCCCTCACGGTTTTTTTTTTTTTTCCAAAGTTACTCCTTGTTTGGTACTGTGCTATACAAAACAATTGTTAGGTGTTTAAAATACCAGACACGTATCTGCTATCTTGAAAAACCGTTCTCTCTATAGATGGAATAGTCTTTTGACGGATCTGGGGCAAATCCCCAGCGCTTCTTGTCTTTTCGGTCACTTTGATTCTTTTTGCCCACACAAAAGAGGCTCTTGAGCCACCTGGTTGCACGCCCCATGGTTTTGATGGGAGGGGAGCAATGGGTTTTAGAGAGAGAGAGAAACAGATAGAATATGACTCTTAAATACTGATTTAATGAGAAATGTTGGGTCTGGGAACGAGAGAGGATCGAAAGTCATGGAACAGAGAGCTTTTCAGGGTCAAAAAGCATGGAAACTAAAAATCGTAGAGAGAAAATACGAGAGCTCGACATTGAGAAAAAGGGCTTTGGAGAGAGAAATGAGCGCACGACTTACAAAGAGAGACAATGGAAGCCCTAAAAAAAAGGTGTACGGGCATCAAGGGAAGGAATTAGCGAGAGAAAGGAGAAGAAGCTGCGGGCAACTCTACTGATACTTCAATATGGACTGTATTTCAATGGCTAGAGAAAGTAGAGTTTTCTTCAGCAGAAGAATCCTCCAGTAAGAGAAACTGGTATCGAGAAAGAGAGAAAGAGACGCACTGGCAATGGGGCACTATTGGATGGGACATGGTTTTAGGAATAAAAACAGAGGGGAATGGTGCTCTGCCATGGCAGAGCAGATGGGTTTAGAGAGAGAAAGAGATAAGGCAGCGGTGAAAACTGAAAAGGGCTAAAATTCCCCGCCTTTTTCCCTTGCTTTTAAATTCATCACATTTAGGCTTGAACGAGAGATGGATTTGGGTGAGAGAGAGAAGGGTTACGACTTTTTTCCCTTGCTTTTCAATTCATCACATCTAGACTTGAAAGAGGGATGGTTTTGGGGAGAGAGTGTGTGCGAGAGAAGGGTTAAGATGTTTGGAGAGAGGGTTAGGTGGTTTTGCAGATAACAAATAGCTATCCCGTATTTTAAACATCGAATAGTTGTTTGTTTAGCACAGTATAAACCGTTGTCCGTAATTTTGAACAATCGTGATCTCATTTTATAATTGACCTCCGAATGTAAATTTCTCATCGAAAAAAGAAAGAGATCGGAATTTCACAAGAAAAGTGTACTATCGTAGGGGCCATGTTCAATATTGTTGGGGCCATGTTCAATAACGGACTCACAAGGTAGACCGTGTAGCATGGCGCTGTTCCATGGTGTGAAATCCGGGACGGGGAGTATGGGTGGCATCGGGTTGGGTCTGCTTGGACCCAGATGTAGACTCGAAAATGTATTGTGGAACCCGGATTTGAATCGGGGTCTATATGGACTTGGACCTAGACCCTACCTGCCAAGTCCAAATTTTTGAATCATATCCGGACTAGGTTGAGTCTACCCACCAGGATCAAGTCCATTGCCACCCCTTTATGAGGTCGAAGGTTCGATGCTTGTTAAGGCTTCCCCTTGTCAAATCTCTTACAAAGAGTGGAATTGGCTTGGGCTTGAGTGGCTAGCAGCTCATATTTAGTAGCGATACACCTCAATTATGTTTCATGTTGCTGAACTACGAAGAAAAAAAAAACTACTAAGAGAGAGAGAGAGAGTGCGTAAGGGTGGAAATGGATCAGATCAATTCCGACCCGGACATGGTTTGACTCATTATAAGTTGGACTCGAACCCAGGTTAGGCAAGGACTCGACCCTCAGGGTCGATTCAGATACAAGTCTACAAATAAAAAGTATAAAAAATTGCAGTATATATATTTTATGTTATATGCTTAATATTATTAGTATGTGTTTATATTAGTATATACTGGGTCGGGTTAGGTTGATCTCGTTTTGTACCAGACTCAACCCGACCAAACAAGATTTAAGCTAGACCCAAACCTAAACCCGACCCTGAGTCAATCAAGATCAAATGGACCCAAATCGGGATCCAAACCCTGACCTGTTGGGTCCACGAATCAACCCAACCCCATTAGCACCCTTGAGCGAGAGATGAAATTTTGTTACACCAATTATATTGAAAGAAACCATCAAATCGTGCAATCTCTTGTCCAATGGTTGAATGTTGAAAGAAACCATCAAATCGTGCAATCTCTTTTTCCAATGGTTGAGCAGTGCCCATTCGAAAGTGTTTTATATAAGAAGATTGAAACGCTTCAAATATACCTTTAGTTCGCTTCAAATTTACCTTTAGTATAAGGAGGTTATAATTATTTATAACTATCCAATTACTTTTAGTATAAGGAGGTTACAATTATTTATAACTATCCAATAAGAAGTCTGATAGTTTGGGTGTGCCACAAAGTTTGAGAAAATTTCTTTTGAACTTTGAACTTATTCAATGAAATAAATGCAGCCACCCAATTTCACATCCAATGGTCAAGATTAATTATGATCACCTAATATAAAAGGTAAATGGATAAGATCCTATCACCCTACGGGTTGACAGCTACAGTATCAGTCAACAGCCCATATTGAATCTGAGTTCAATCTAATGGTCATGACTTCATTTCATATTTGAATTTTTATTTTATTTTTATACAAATCCAAATCATTTGAAATTTTAAATGTTTATTTTTAAAAACTAGTAGAATCTAATAAAAATATTAAAAAAATAATTTAAAAAATATAAATTGATCAAAATACCCCTAAACATTTTTGGGGCTATTTTGGTCGATTTATATTTTACGAATTACTATTTTTATATATTTTTATTACGTGCGTCTTGATGAGTAGAATGTACGCCTAAATTTTCAAG